AACTTTTGTCTAGTTCTGAACAGATATGAGGAGCTGTGAGCTCTGAGTGCTAACAGCTAACGGCTGTGTTGTTTTTCTGGGGCTCTCATTGAAGATGACGTCACGGCTCCGCCTACACTGCGTTACTATAGTAACTGCCCCGGTTCCTAAACTGTAATGGAAACGCAGCATAAAGTGAGCCGGGCCTAATAAGGCCTAACCAAACCGAGCGAGGCCGAGCGAGGCCTGCAGTGGAAACGCGCCATAATAGTAGCAGCTAACGAGAGGCTACGTTCAGCTGGTGACTCGGGAGTCGGGACAGAGAAATGTCAGGAGTTTGGAAGTATTATAAAATTGAAAGCGAAGGCAGTGTAACAGCCAGATGCAATGTTTGCAAGGCGGAGGTTCCGCGTGGTAGAAAGAACAGAGCTACGTTCAACACGACCAATCTAACACGCCACCTGAGAAACAAACACCAACACGACGAGTACACAGCGGCCACTAGGGGAACGGCACTGAAACAACCGACACTTTAGAGACTTTCAAAAGGAAAGAGAAACGGCCCCAGAACAGTGAAAAGGCCAAAAAAATAACAGCCAAGATAGCTGAGTTCATCGCGTTGGATGACCAGCCGTTATCTGCCACCTTTTTCTCTCTTAATGCATTGCATAAAGATCGGGAAAAATCGGTATCGTCAGATTGTCAAAATCAAATGATCGGAATCGGATCGGGAGCAAAAAAAGGTGATCGGGACATCCCTAGAAAATACAGTAAAAAAAATACCTAAAAATATATAATAATAATAATATTAAAAAAAATAGTAATAATAGTAACATTTAAAATAAGATATGGCTGTTTTTGATTGGTTTGAATTATTAATGAACGTGTTTTGGTTAATCTCCTTCTGTTCTGGACTTTCCCCGCGTAGTAGAGACTCAGTGAGAGAATAGATCCCCTCGCTCTATGAGACGTTTTTCCTCTGATCTGACCAATGAGGGCGAGGCGCTGCATGAACAATGCCCTCGCTCGCTTCCTGTGTTTGTCTGTAAAGATATTTAAAGCTGAGGCCGACACGTCTGGCAGGAAAGACAACTGAAGGTCACAGATTGTAATCTAACAAAAGGAAGCAAAAGTAGATAACAAATAATTAAACAATAACAAAACCCACTGTGTTTAATGTGTGTGTGGTTTGACATTAAGTTAGGCTTTTATGGAGGTAGATGTGTCTCAACACTATGCGTGAACACATCTAGAAACTCCAAAAACTCTCAGCTAAAGTACCACAGAAAAAAACAGCCGATATTCACAGGAAACTGTTCATCAGGCAATTAGTCTCCTATTGGCTGGCAGAGTTAATTGTTAAAATTAAAACACTTGTTTATTACCTTCAGCTAAATTACACATACATGTATAATCTGTACATTTAAAACACCTTCGACTGAAATGCAAAAAAAGAAATATATAAAATTAGGACCTAGAATTGCACAAATCAATGTTCGACCCATAAATACTGAATAACATGTTATTTTTAATTATTCGTGGAATTTGTATGATAGAAAGATAATTCAAATTAATTCCACATGTGTACAAATATTTGTAAACATTGAAGCTTTTTATGAATAAATTATATTAATAATAATAGTGATCTGCTCTGACTGGTAGTTGTGATCTGTCCGCCTCTTACGGCCCGTCCACACTACAGCTTCAAAAACGGTTTCCAACGCGTCACCCCATTCACTTTGAATGGGGTGACGTCACTTTTCGCCGAACTGCATTGTGGGAAGCAGAGCGGAGCTTTCCTGGCGTTTCAGGCTGCAAAAGTTGAGCAATGTTCAACTTTTGAAGCTTCTGAAGCTTTCGGTGGAAGCGTCAGCCAATCAAATCATATGCCAGTACAAGCTCTAGCCAATCAAAGCGCTGCTTGTGTGTCAGGGGCGGGAGATTCATGTGATTGGTTGTTGGTCGAGCTTCAGACACGCCCAGCGCCAAGCTTTTTTTGAAGCTGTAGTGTGGACGGGCCGTTAGAGATATCAATATGTGTTGGAGCGCTAGCCAATAGGAGCACAGTATGACAGTGATGTCACTATGTTGCGGAACTAAACAAAGGAGTTCAATGGAGGTGTTTCCGGGGTATAAAAGGGCCGCTTTGAGGTCAGTTTTCTCACCACAGCTTTCTTCTCACAGAGCGAGTACACGGCCTCCAGGTTGGGGTCGCTGTGCAGAGGGTGGGAGTACATGCGGTGCTCGAAGGCCTCGACCTTCTGGATCACCTTCTTCAGCGCCGGGTCTTTGATGCCCATGTCGTCCACGGGATCCAGCAGAGGAACGCCGTCCGGGAAGCGCTTCTGCACCTCCTGCACGCAAAACAAAAGAGATAGAGTAATGGTTTTCAGACAAGTTTGTTATTTAATTTGTTGTGTGTGTGTCTGAGACAAAAATATAAAAAACTAATAATAGTTCAAATTGAAATACATTCAAAAAAATTGAAAAAACTAAAATAAAAAAATTGAATTAATTTTTTTATATTAATCAAAATGTAAAAGTTGCTAATAAAAAAAAAAATAAACAAACAAATAATTGAATAAATAAACAAAATATGAGATCAGCAGTAGATAATTACACAAAAACATAAATTGTGTCCATTTTGCCATATTTGAAAAAGAATATGAAATTTTCTTCAATGTCAAACGATGTATAAGGTCTTTAACTAATGGAGGGTTTGAGTACTACACAAAAGAAGCACGTCTTTCATTATTATAAACTGTCTTAGACAAACCTCCAAATTGTATCTACACAGACATTGGACTCTGAACTTGTGTGTGTGTGTGTGTGTGTGTGTGTCCTAGCATTACTATCCTTGTGGGGACCTACATATGTTTACACATGAGGGAAGTCCCCATGACGGGAATCATTAATTTTGTGGTGGTTAAGGTTAGGATAAGTCTCCAGGAAATGCATGTAAGTCAATGTAATGTCCCCTGAAGTGATGTATACATGGTGTGTGTGTGTGTGTTGTGTGTGTGTGTGTGTGTTGTGTGTGTGTGTGTGTGTGTGTGTGTGAGAGAGATGGGGTTCATTCAATCTTAAAAAGTGAAGCCATGTGGTTTCTAAACAACGATGAAAAAACAGTTTTTCTTTTCGGTTATTTTTGATTTAGATCTTGTAAATATGTTGTATATTAAAAGCTTTACTTAAAAACCTAAAAATAAGCTTTATATGTTAAAAATATATAAAATACAAAAAGTAAATAAAATTACATACAAATAAAAAATATTTTGTTTATCTAAATAGTTTTATTTTATTGTATCTTTTATTGGACATTGAACTTTAACGTCTTGTGTTTATATATATATATAATAATGATGTACCTGTATGGACTTGAGCATCAGCTGCCGGTTGTCAAAGGGCCTCAGATCTTTGGGGATGTAGAGACGGACGGAGCTGATGGAGGTCAGGAGATGCAGCATCACTGGGACCACCTGGAAATAGAGAACATCATTGTAAGTGGTGCAGGGATGTCGTATTTTCGTAGAGGACCCTGAAGGCAACGTCTCCCTGGTTCAATTTCTATTTTATTTTTTAAATATGTATTATTAATTATAAAAATGTTTGTGCTTGTGTTAACCTCAGACCTTATGACAGGCTTACAACCAAAAAACATTGACTTTGACGGACCAGTCTTTCTTTAATTAATATAACTAGTGTCAGTGTGTTCCTCCCTTCGTGTGCAGTTTTAAACACAGTGAATGTTTTTAAAAGCCCAAATCTGTCAAATTTAGAATTGAAGCAAAGGTATTTTGTTAGAATGAAACAAGTTATGAATTTTGTAAATCATAAAATCCATGTTTTATCAATAACATAACAGACTTTTGGTACAGCTCTACATATGGGATGTAAAAGTGTGTCTGTACGTACGTGTGGGAGTGTGTGTGCGTGTGTGTGTGTGTGTGTGTGTGTGTGTGTGTGAGTGTGTGAGTATGTGTGTGTGTGTGTTGGGGTTCATCCAATAATTAAAAGTGAAGCAATGTGGTTTCTAAACAACAACAAAAAAACATTTATTTTTTTCGGTTATTCTCGATTTAGATCTTTGGGTATAATTCATTTTTTTAATGTGTATATTGAATATTTAAAGCTTCACTAAAAAGCCTAAGAAAATTCCCCCACCTACATCTCCCCGGTGAAAAAGGTTTGGACACCCCTGCTGTGTGTGTGTGTGTGTGTGTGTGTGTGTGTGTGTGTGTGTGTGTGTGTGTGTGTGTGTGTGTGTGTGTGTGTGTGTGTGTGTGTGTGTGTGTGTGTGTTTCTCTCACCTGCATCTCCCCGGTCTCTCCTGGAGCTGCAGGTTTAGCCGCCTCAGTGGCAGCATCCTTCACGCTGTCCTTGCTGCAGTGAACCAGAACCTCCACCACGTACAGAGGCTCAGAGTCCGTGCTGGACTGCATGGGAGACAGAATCATCAGGATATGAATACTTTATTTATACTGGGAGTAATTGGGTTTCCTGACAGATGGTCTGTATTTAAAAGTAAATAAAAGATTACAAATAAATGTTTTTAAATGAAAAATAAATATAGGTATGAGAAATTAAAAGTCAAATAAAGAGTAAAAACATATAGAAACGTTAGAAGATTTAGGAGAAATGCCCCCAAAAAAAAGACTTACAATATTTATTTAATTATAAGAAAAAAGGAAATCTTAAAATAAAAATTTATTAACACGAATAAAATAAAATGGAACGAAAATATTTATTATTCATAAATAAAATAAATGTTAATGTCAAAAAAAGTAAAACATACTTATATATATATATATAAAACATGAGTTAAAATAAAATGTTCAATTGGAGATACAATGTTATCAAAAGGATTACAAAATATGTATATTAACATAAGTTGGAAGAAAAATGGCCAAAATTTAAAAAAAATATTTTTATATAAAAATAATGTTTCTGGGAAAAAAAGGCAAATAAAAGACAAATATTTATAATGCACATTCATTACCAACATGTACATGGACTCACAAATCATAAACAAACTCACCTTCACGTTCGACTTCTTGCAAAAGTTCACCACCACTCCCCAGCCAAAGTCAGCGTCATCATTTTTCACCTGAGGGTTTACAACAAGGAGCCATTCAATTACTTGCTAAAATATATAGCTATTGTCCTGTTGATATATGGTTGAAGTGTGTGAAGTGTGTGAAGTGTGTGTGAAGTGTGTGAAGTGTGTGAAGCAGTGGTGAACAGTGTGTATCACAACTGGACCTTCTGTAGACACCCCCCTCCACCCGGATTTGAAAATGCGGGTGTTGTAGTCAGACGGACGTCACGGAGGCAGTCACTTTGGGTTGGACGGCTTTTTTTATAATGTCCATCTTTTCACTGAATTATCGTCTTGAAAAGGGAACTAACAACAATTCCGCAAAACATCATCTTCACCTGTCGCCGTTTTGACTTAAAAAAACTATAAAACTTCAAATGAATTGCTACGTAGCATTTACGCTGAATCCTCAGTCTCTCTCCAGTTAACTAGCGGGCCTTCTAGAGCAGGGGTTCCCAAACTTTGCCATGCCAAGGACTCCATATAGCATATCCTCTGGCAGGGACCCCCCTGTTGCAATTTTAAATGATAAGTATATAATGATGGAAAATATGACAAATTAATCACACAGCTTAATACATTTTCTTAATATATATTTGTATTAATAATTAATAATCAGTTATTCTTCTTTTATTATTCTTCTTTTGTTTGTCATTCATTACATTGATTGTGTCTTCTGTTATAAACATTCTTAACACAATATTAAACAGTAAAATCAACAGTAAACATATTTTTAAAGTGATTTCTGTCTTTATAATATTATATCATTTTGAACAGTAATATGAACAACATATATTTTTAGCATTTTTGAAAGCTACTTATGCCTTAATAATATTATATATAATATTCAACAGTAATATTAACAATAAACATTTATATTCATATATATAAACGATGGATGGAGATGGACTTTTTATTAATCCCTCGTGGGGAAATTGTTTCTCTGCATTTGACCCATCCTGTGTTAGGAGCAGTGTGCTGCCCGGGGAGCAGTGTGGGGAACGGTGCCTTGCTCAGGGAGACCTCGGTAGCACTTGGTCTTGCCGGGACTTGAACTGGTGACCTTCCAGTTGCCGAGCCAACTCTCTATCGACTTCGCCACCATCGCCCACCCAACATCAATATTTGCTACATCTGTGCTCTCATCCAGCTGCAGAGCGAAATCTTCACTAGCTCTCACTTGCTCCAAAAGCTGAGCAGATACTCAGTAGCGGCAGCTCGATTCTGATTGGCTTGAATGGCGGTCGTGTGATTTAAAAACAAAGAAATATTAATAAATAAAAAATATTAAAAGATTGGCATCAAAGGACACAGATTGATAGATATGCAGTTATTAAAACATCTAAAGAAATACAAAAATGTAACTTAAAAAAAATAAAAAAATCCCCTTTCCCTCAAACTTTGCGTGACCCCCCTGGCGCCCCCTGGCGGCCCCCCGGGGGGTCGGGGCCCCCACTTTGAAAACCCCTGTTCTAGAACACCCTGGAACCGAGGGGAACTCTGAAAGAATACGCCCATTGGCTACAAGTCAATATCAAATCAAACTGTCAGTCCAAACGTACGCTCTCATTCAGTGCAACGGCCAGGGCTTTCGATCAAGGATGTAGAATACCTGGTGAAGGATATTCTACCCAGAGACCCAGAACAAGATCTGATTGGTTGCTTTCTTTTCTAACACAAAACCACTGAAATGCGTAGAGCATGGTCCGAGAAGGACAAACAAATCAACGTAACATTATTATTACAGATCAACAACACGGATACGATTCTCATTTATTCATTTGTTTGTTTTATCTGAGTGTTTCAGGGTATTCTTTGAATACCTGAAGGCCCTGACGGTTCACCACTGGTGTGAATTTGTGTGTGTGTGTGTGTGTGTGTGTGTGTGTGTGTGTGTGTGTGTGTGTGTGTGTGTGTGTGTGTGTGTGTGTGTGTGTGTGTGTGTGTGTGTGTGTGTGTGTGTGTGTGTGTGTGTGTAGCGTCACCTTGACCAGTCTGCCGGGCTGCAGGAAGGGTAAGCAGTATTTGGGTTTGTGCGTGAACTCCTGGATCTCTTTCCCCAGCTTGGCGAGCTGCTGTCGGATCTTAAAGTACGTCACCACGCCCTCCTCGTTGGGGATCTCGATGCTGTTGTACTGCGCCTCGTACTTCTCGATCTCTGCACAGGAACAAAACAGAAAGATATAGTTAAAGCTGGAGCTAGGCAACTAAGAGACATGATATTTTATTCTATCATCTACTAGTGAAACACGGTTCTTTAAAAAAGGTCTCATGATAAAAATGCACTTGAATATTGCTTTATATTCCTCCATCTTGTGACTGTAACTCCCTCTCTTGATATCAGCATGTGAAGGACACTGCTCAGGAACTAGTTGATGCTCTGTATGTGATGACTCCTTCCATTCTGGAGAGGATCACAGATACATGGATCCTGAGGTTGAAGCTCAAGCCGGGGACCAGGGATAATTAACATTTTAAGTTATTATTATTAGTATTCAGAAAAAGACAACATTTTGAGTAAAAAGTCAGGATTTTAAGGGAAAGAAATCTGGATTTTGAGGGAAAACTAAGTATTTTGAGATTTTTAGTAAAAAGTCAGGATTTTGAAAAAAAAATATGATTTTGAGAATAAAGTCAGAATTTTGAGATTTTTAGAAAAAAAGTCATATTTTTTTTGTTGATTTTAAGCAAAAAATCAGTATTTTGAGAAAAAAATCACTATTTTAAGATTTTTAGTAAAAAGTCAGAATTTTTAGATTTTGAGAAAAAAAGTCAGAATTTTTAGATTTTGAGAAAAAAAGTCAGAATTTTTAGATTTTGAGAGAAAGTCATAAATACATGTTTCCTGAGATTGAAGCTCAAGCCGGTGACGAGTGAGATTTTTCTAACATAAATGAAATGTATTCATATTAAATAAAGTACTCACTCTCCACGACGCCAGGCAGCGCTCTGTAATGCTGGAACTGGTAGAAAGATTTCTCCAGCATGTATTCAGGGTTTATTTCCTCGACTCGCAGCAGATTCAGCACCATGTTGTAAGTCAGGTGGAAGGCAGAGTTTAGCGGGTCTGCGGAGCCCTGCAACCACACAAAGGAAACAATAACATATTACTTAGAGCATGCATATAGTGAGGTTCAAGGTTAGTCTATCTGTATAGCACATTTTAAGACACAGAGGCAATAGAGAGGCGAAGTCCCTCCCCTTCCTCCATGGGACCTTATTTCTGAAAAAGTATGTATTGAAGTCAATGGAGAGAAAAGCTATCTCTCGATCCCGTTTGAATTGAGCCACGAATTACACATATGATGTTTGTCAATTTAAAAGATAATTTTGAAAGTAAAAAAAATCTAAATGAGTCGTCAAACTGTGAAGTAACACTTTGTTTGTGTGAAACCGCTCAATGAACTACATCTCCCGTCTCGCTCCACACACCCAAGACGGCCGTCACGTTGAAACATTTCACTCCAAGTCTGGGCACGTTGAGAGCTGTGCACACACACAAGGGGAGTTAGTCGGTTCCTGAGAGCCAGCATGCGGGACCGGGACTCTGGGATCTGTAGTCTTTCTAGTTGCGTATTTGTCATAGTCTTATATTTCAACAGTTTTACGACAAACTGTGACTTTTTTGACACGGAAATGATTTGTTAAGATTGACAAACATCATGTGTGTAATTCGTGGCACAATTCAAATGGCATCGAAAGATACGTTTTCTCTCTCATTGACTTCAATACAAACTTTTTCAGAAATAAGGTCCCATGGAGGAGAGGGAGGGACTTCGCCTCTCTATTCAAAGTGCTTCACATTAAACACATAATTAAGTACAATACAAAATAATAAGAACATCAATCAACGTTAGCAAGAAGTTGTGACGACTAAATAAAAAAACGAAATCAGTGGGAAGCAACTGACAATATTTACTCAATTACAATTTTGTTACTACAACAAAAGAGACAAATATTATATATTTTTTATTCTAATACATACATTTGACATATATTGATATATATTGTGAAATTGGCCGATGTGGAGAACTAGTACTTTTGGTCTTTTAAGTATATTTTTGGTTGCTTATAGTAGAGTATAGAATATAGAGTATTTCTACACTGTGGTATAACTACTTTGATTTAACGAGGACATATTGGGCTCATTTTCAGGTTCATATTTGCAGACCATTTACATGCACAGAAACCTGCAAATATGTCAGTACTTCCTCCAGTTCAGCCCTGAAGTCCTTTCCTCAAACTAAACCTCCAGAAACGCAGATATTATGAAACCCAGATTTCTCCCTGTGAGTTGGGGGTTACGCGATGGAGCCAACAAAAGCTGTGCAGAAACATATTTATAGCAGCGATAAACGTGTCAAATCAGAGACAGAAGACTGGCTCCTCTGAACGCCTCGTTGATCCAAAAACTTCAGACGATTTCCATTCAACCGTTCACACAGACCGAAGGGAAATATGTTTTATTGGCGGCTAACAGAAGAGTGTGTAGACGGTCGGGATGGGAATTGGAAAGCAAATGTATATTCGAATCCCAAGTTCCGAAAAGTACATATTCTATAATTAAGGTTTTACTAACCTGGGAGAAATCTGGGTTTCATAATATCTGCGTTTCTGGAGGTTTAGTTTGGGGGGAAAGGACTTCAGGGCTGAACTGGTTGTCTAATACTTGAAACCTATTCAGGATTGTATCGATACAACTGGAAAAACTGAAAATGTGACTGAAAGATATATTGTACTGTATTATTGTTTGTAACAAAAAAAAATCCATTCACTTTCACAAAGATGCTTAGCCTTGTAGGAGCCGCGGTTAAGTTCATTTTGATCCATTTGCAACTTTTATTAATGCATTTTTCTATTGCAGCAAGAGGTTCGCCTTGCTCAGGTGATGGGGGCGGGGCTACCGTTTTAAGTTGGAGGAACTTATGGCGCATTTCCACTGCAGGGCCTCGCACCGTTTAGTACGGTGTAGTTAGGCCTTGGTAGGCCAGGCTCACTTTATGCTGCGTCTCCATTACAGTTTAGTAGCTGGGGCGGTAACTATAGTAACGCAGTGTAGGCGGAGCCGTGACGTCATCTTCAATGAGAACCACAAAACCAACACAGCCGTTAGCTCTTAGCACTCAGAGCTCACAGCTCCTCATATCTGTTCAGAAACTAGACACAAGTTAAACAAGTACAAACCACAGACTGCCTGTGTCATGGAGAATACAGTCGCTGGTTTATTTACCCAAGTTCCCATCGGCAAAAACATGTGGGTTTGCTATCCTGGCTCCAAGATGGTGGAATGAGCTCCCCATTGACATCAGGACAGCAGATAGCTTACACACCTTCCAGACTGAAAACTTATCTCTTTCGACTCCACTTCGAGCGATAGAACTATTAACAAAGCACTTTATACTAATAAAGGACTGGCTTACCTAAAGCCAGTTGAGTAGCACTTGAAATGTTTGGCTCTATGAAACCTGATGTACTTATATGATTCTGTTTTCTTCAAGGTTGTGTCTTCCTGGTCGAATGCACTTATTGTAAGTCGCTTTGGATAAAAGCGTCAGCTAAATGTAATGTAATATAAACTCCCCAAACAGGCGAAAACCTACCAGTTTCCCCCACTGTCTCTGGCACCTCCCTCCATGCCTGGTTCCTCCGGTTTGTATCCCGTTAATAGTTCTGGTCCTAAAGAACCGGGTGATTTGCTTCCGTAATTTCTCGTTTGGAATATGAGGAAATGAACTGCGGTCTGGTTCTCCCTGCTTACACGCGGTTTGATTGGCTAGCGCTTCTACTGTCAGATTTGCATAAACGGGATTTGATTGGCTGACGCCTCCAGCTCAGCTTCAAAAGTTGAACATTGCTCAACTTTTGAATCCTGAAAATCCTGGAAATCTTCGCTTCGCTCCCCCACAATGCAGTTCGGCGAAAAGCGAGGCAAAGTGACGTCACCCCATTCAAAGTCAATGGGCAGAGAAGCGTTGCTGTGTGGACGTACCGTTAGGAACAAAAGGCAGCAGTATTGAGGTTACCTTGAGAAGCTGTTTGCCGATCGATGGACTCATCTTTTCGTCCACCATGAAGATAACGATTCCTCGGTCGTCCATTCCTCTCCTGCCGGCTCGCCCAGACATCTGGATGTACTCGCCCGATGTGATCTACACACAGGACATTGAGAGGTCATTAAAGGTCTCATATATATACAGAACATGTCTTTGAAGTGTTTGGCTCCAAACACCAAACAGATAATTGCAGCATCCCATTGTTTGAACATCACCTGCTGTTGAAGGGTTGGTTGCAGCCGATAGAGATGTGCAAAGCAAATTAGTTTCAATGTTTGTTTTCAATTTCAAGGATTGATTTTCTACATTACAGTTTCCTATTTGTGAATACAATAGGATTATTTAAAGGGGACCTATCATGCAAAATGCACTTTGTGATGTCTTCTCTCCATCACCATGTGTCCCCGGTGTGTCGGGGAACTCACGCAGCGTCAGGAAATAAAACCCTCTCTCTTTTCCTCCGTACCCAAATCTCTAAAAACGGGGAACAACGGAGCTGATCCAGATTTGCGTCCGATATGACGTAATATCTGAAATGTGGACCCACGGCCCAATCAGAAACGTTGCTATCAGAAACAATGCCCGACTGTTTTGGACGTAATATGGTCGGTGTTTACATTAGCATGGCTAACACTCAGAGCTAACCTGTACTGGAGAGCATGTGTGTGAAGAAGCAGGAAGTACAAAGGAACTCACCTTGTGGTATAACCGGCAAGAGAGAAAGCCTTTGAGCTCCAGACTGTTTCAGAGAGAATCCTTGATAATCCATGATATGGCGTTTCATCACGGCAGCATTTAGTTTAGACAGTAGCTGCCGGGTCCCGCATGAGCTCAGACCCCTCCTCTTTAAAGCTTTATACCCAAATCAGCACTTTAGAAACAGGAAGTGAAATAGAGGGGTATGAGGCATGGCTAGAATGATCTGTTTGGTGTTTGGAGCAAACACTTATTTATATTTTGATATATCTGAGACCTATGCTATTGCCTAAAAATAGCATAATAGGTGACCTTTAATTATAAGCAACAGTCTGTAAAGCACATGCACTCATTTAGAGGAGGCAGAATAATATGTTGATGCCACTACAGGAGAGACGGGATATTCTCTGCAACTAGGAGGAAGAGATATGTGCTTATATTTGCAAAAATAAGCTGCAGAACATCTACGATTTCTGTGTTGAAATGGATGCAATGGGATCAGCAGCTCTTGATTTGAAATGAGAAATGTGTGTGTGTGTTTTAAATGTGTGTGTGAGTGCCTGCGTGGAGCTTTGGCAACAGCGGCGGCTCCAGATGTTTCTGATGAAGCTCTTGGAGGCAGCTACACACACACACTACGTGGCTGCAGGACTTGAAGACCTTATGAGGTTTAT